CTTTGAAGTGGTCTACTGCAAATCTAACGAAGGATCGAGCTCTTGTATCAGCAGTCCATTCTCCCATCCCACGGCAACCATGTCCACATCTACACCTTACCGAAACAACACGAATAAATAATCGGAGCTCACACATTAACCAGCAAAACAGCACGCAGAGAACTTACGTGAAAGAGGGCGAGACTGAAGTACCCTTGCCACTTTTTCGGGAAATAAGCGGTGCCATACGTCTTTCTTATGATTGCGATGACAATTGGACAAGTGCATTTGATGCAAGTCTTGGTGATGATGGTGTTCCTTTCGAATTCAGCAATTGTGACGAGTTAAAAAAAGAGAACGAAAAAGAGACTGAAAGCGACTGTCACTCAGTTAAAAAAGGTAGGCTTGCAGCGGGTTATTTCAGAAAAAACAATTGGAAAATGTCTCAGACTAGTTTTGGAAATGTTATTCTTGCATTTTGTTCGGAGAGTAATTATGAATCTTTTATTTATAGGTTTGTTAAATGCCCCACTGGAACCGCCGCATATCTTGAGTCACTAGCAAAATCAATTCAAAAGGCCAGCTCAGATGTGATCTACAGTGCCAATGACAAAGTAATGGAGATTTTTCACACGATGAAATTAGAGACATGCCACAGTCATTTTTCGTTTCATCAAAATCGTTTTTCAAATTCAGAAGATGATTATTCTTGTTTTTCTTGAGGAAATCTGTCACTGCCCCCAGTTTTACACTTCTAATTTTGTGTTAAAAATTTAGGCTCCAACTTTAAAGACTACGGATTCCAAAAACAGTTCTTCCGATGTTGTGGATACAACACCAGCGGTTTCGCATTTTGAGGGAGGTAATGGAAAGCAAGAGCTCAGTCCAGGGTCTGGCGTTTTTATTCCAACGTTCAAGCTTTGCGAATGCTATCACAAAGCAGGGTCAGATTTGAAGGTGTTGTTTCATGTTTTAATGGACCATTTTTTCTCAGAGGAAACGCTTGCCGTGTCTTTTGTGTTTGGGAATCGGATCCTTCCAACTGGGAAAAAAGTGCTGGATCCAAATATCGTTTCAGCAATTAAAGGTAGTTATTTTATAATGCTAATATTTTTGCAATAGTCTAAATCTTTTGAATAGTCTAATATCTTTGGAATAGTCTAATAAAATAGCGGTGTTTTAAACTACATTTTAAACTTACATCCTGTATTGCATTTTCAATAAAAATATAACCCATTTTTTATTACAGGATACTTTTATTAGCGTTCGCCAAAATATTAACTGTGGCTCCTTTGGAAAGCTCAAAGTTGAACAAAATGTTTACAAACAAATGTATGCGTGCACCAAACTAAAGAAAAGGCTTATTAAACCGACGCCAAACAAGTAGGACTGACAATTTTGATTAATTGTCATAATTTTAGTTTACGGAAGTCACAGTACGCAATATGACATCGATATAAGGGATGTGTTATTTTAATCAATATATGTACGTACTCATTGTACTTATTATATCCTATATTATTTGATTCGATATTACTGTGGTCGTTTTATGTACCTATGATTTTAAATAATGGATTATTCATTGAACTAACTTTGTGTTCTTAAATTACTTATGCTGGAAGCATATATGTAATGTATTTTGAAGCCTATACGCGTGCATAATATAAGCCTGCAAGGTTCGAAAAAGACCTTTTTAGACCATTAATAGACCTATCAAGGCCTTAGTAGTTCTTTCTAGACCTTTCAAGAGGATTTAAGACATGTCAAGACCTTTCAAGACCTTTCGAGATACTTATCGTGAAAATATTCCCAACACAGAAAGGTCTTGAAAAGGTCTTTTCACCTGTCAAATTAACATCACAGCGAAAACTTTTTCAAGACATTTACCGTAATCGATATCTAGACCTATTCAAAACCTTTTACAGACAATTCTAAAGATCTAGTCAAGACCTTTTTAGGTCTTTGAAAGGTCCACTATTTTCATACCTATTCATTTTTTAATGTTTACCTGATTTCCATACTATATGTGTATTAAAAACTTGATGCCACCATGCAGTTCATATTAAATGTATACACCTAAGCTGTATAAATTATTTGTTCAGTTATTACTCTGGCGTCAGCGACGGAGTTGAAAATTCGCCTCGGTTTTGTTTTGTTTTTGTTTTGTTTTTTTTTATTTTTTTTTTTTTATTATTTTTCGTCGTCGCAAGTGTGTTTTGGCGCGAAATATACTAGCATTTGAAATAATGCTCACTTGTATCCAGGACTTCATGATGATGCGACTCTCATAACAAAAGGTATGCGAGCGTATTTATCTACGTCAAAGTTTGTCTCGCAAGAGTTGTGGTGCACTGCCAAATTTTCGATGCGCGATTTGATTCTGACGATTTAATCACGTGATACAGCAATTCGACCACGAGGGCACACGACACAGATAAACCCTTTTCCCTTGCTTTTTACTTTATGCTGGACAAGAATTTTTTGTGCAGAATTTTAAGAGTTTCCATGTCTAGTTTAAATAAGGTAAGAGTATTTTTAATACGTGTGGATTTTTGTTGTATTTTTATTAACATAGATCGGTGGTATCGCTGCTTCATTTACACCATTTACAATAGGATTGTACCATTTGTATGAGTCATTTATACTTAGTGGATACACAATTACCAACCTCGTAGACATAATTACATGGTCTTATATAAAGCTGTAAGGTGATGCATATAGTCAACTATGAAATAGCCGGTTGGAGGGCATTTGAATGTTAAACTATATTCAGATGTATGAAGGGGAGAGGGGGGCATCTTTTATTCTTCTCTAGAGGGATATGGATTATCAGATATCTTTTAGGATATTTATGATAGTCTATTTTAATTATGTAACACTAAAGTATATATTTCAGTAGAATTTTTTTAACTGTTTTCTAGGTTACATCACACTTGATATCTCATTGGAGGAATTCTTACTTTTTACCGAATGCTATCTTTGTAAATTACATGTATGCCAAGTCACAAATTATGAATGCCAAGTTACATATTATGTATGCCAAACTTACAACTATGAATATAAATATCTTAAGTATTAACACAGTGAAAAGTTTGATTAATACAAAAATGAACATTTCTAAAGTTGTCGACTTGAATTCTAGAATTATGTATTTGAACAAACTTATTTTCTACAGTTCTAAATGCCAACATTTGAATGCTGAAGGTGATACAAATTGCAAAATTATTTGTGAGCAAACTTTGAATACCCAACCAGCTGAACTACTGACAAGCATCAAGTCACATTACATAAAATTTATGTCCAAACGAGGCAAATCAGCAGTTATTGAGAAGATGCAATGCAATTGTAGTTTCTGTCAACATGATGGCAGAGCCCTTTGCAGTATTCAATGCAAGAAACTTTCATCATGCATATGTCAGTACACTAAAGTATACAGGCATGAAGTTTGTGGGATTGTCAATAAACATTGTTTTCCTCAATTTACTGAAAAAACAGTAAATTTTAAAAATAACATTGTAAGATTTATCAATAAATCAAAGAAATTGATGTTGTATTATGAAATGAATATTACACAGAAGCATTTTTACAGAAAACAATCATGCCAAAGTAATGAAAATACTAGTGTTACATTCCAAAATTTAAACCACAGGATGAATTATTGTGCACTCTGTCTTTGTCAAGACATTGAAACTAACCCAGGCCCTACTTTTGTCAACCCAAGTGAAACAATTCATGCTCCTTACAGTCAAGGTAATGTTGATATATTTGGTCAAAATGCAGGTCATCAATGTGTACCAATGAGTTTATGCTCTCTTATTCATGTGTATCACTATAATTCAATTTTGAACTCAAACAACTTGGTTGATATTATGCGCCTTGGTAACGAATTGTATTCTGCATTGTCTCAGTTAGCAAGGCAAAGATATTTGTTACTTAATGAACTGCCTACAATGGTGACTGTTGAGGAGATTGATTACTTATTTGAATTCAGTGAAAGTTATTCAAATACACTTCATACACCTAGGTTAATTGAGGGCAACCCATTTGTTGTGGCTTTAAATACTTCTTTTGAACATTTGCAAGGACAAGGTTTCAAATTATTTCTACTAACTATTGAATTGAACACTGTAGCTATCTTTACTGATTCGAATGATAAAATTAAGATTTTTGATTCTCATGCCAGAGATTCTTTTGGTATGCCTGACTCTAATGGAACATGTGTCTTGTTACAATTTAATACACTTGGAAATTTAATAGAATATTTGAAGTATTTGTATAAACCTGGTGCTATCTTTGAAATAAAAGGTGTTAAGATTGGCAATCTTATGTGTGATGAACAAGTACATAATTTAAACAACACTACCGTCAATGAAAATTTTCCAAACAGCCGCGAAGTAAAGAATGATACTAATGTACATTACTCTACAACAACAATTGAAGATCAAAAATCAAATGAAAACCCATTTCTAAATGATTTTCCAATTTTTTTCCCGTTAATCTATTCTATTTGTTTTTCTACAATCATGATGTGTAAATATTGGACTAATAATACTTTAAATGCTATTGCTGAAAAAGCCACAGGGATGATGAAAGAATCGTTTAAAAACGGTGAGCACGGCTCTTCAGTTTTTAAAAGTTTACCTGGAAGCATAGAAATATGCGGTTCTGGAATCAACATAGAATATATGTCACGGTATCAAGGGACACTTTGGTTATCAGCTGAATCCAGTAACATTGATTTCCAGAACTTACTGTTGGCAAATTCGAACAATAGTGGATTTTTGTTACGGTTTTTAGAAGAGTCATTGGGTTGCGTAATGCAGAATAAAAGCTATCGTAAAAAACAGACAACTACGTACTTTTTCTTAGGTCTCGATTCAGAAAGTGGTGTATGTATCTATGAAGAATTTACTGACTCGCGTAATTTTGTTGATACAATAATATGTGATATAATAAAGTGCAATTATCCTAGCGTTAAAAAAGTACCATATATCATCCAGTTTTTATCAATTCCTGGCACAATGACGAAGTCTGAAAAACAAAAAATCTTAAGGAAGCACAAGTCTACTACTCAGATAGAGGCACAAAATAAGAATAGAAAGAACATGTATAGCGCTATGAATCCTACAAGTAAGAAACGTCTTCTTGAAAGCAATAAACTTAAATACCAAGAGATGGATTCTATGCATAAAAAAAGACTTCTTGATAAAAATGCGCATAAATACAAGGAAATGGACTCTGCGAAAAAAAATGCACTCCTTGAAAGTAACAAAACTAAGTACAAGGAAATGGACTCTGCGAAAAAGAATGCGCTAATTGAAAGTAACAAAACTAAATACAAGGCAATGGACTCTGCGAAAAAAAATGCACTCGTGGAAAGTAACAAAACTAAATACAAGGAAATGGACTCTGCGAAAAAAAATGCACTCGTACAAATTAACAAAACTAAGTACAAGGAAATGGACTCTGCGAAAAAAAATGCACTTGTACAAAGTAACAAAACTAAATACAAGGAAATAGACTCTGCCAAAAAAAATGCACTCCTTGAAAGTAACAAAACTAAATACAAGGATATGGACTCTGCGAAAAAGAATGCGCTAATTGAAAGTAACAAAACTAAATACAAGGAAATGGATTCTGCGAAAAAAAATGCACTCAGTGAAAGTAACAAAAGTAAATTCAAAGAAATGGACTCTGCGAAAAAAAATGCACTCAGTGAAAGTAACAAAAGTAAATTCAAAGAAATGGACTCTGCGAAAAAAAATGCACTCAGTGAAAACAACAAAAGTAAATACAGAGAAATGGACTCTAGTAAAAAAGAAGTGCTTCTTCAAAGTGCAAAACGTAAATACCAAGAGATGGCTCCCACAGAAAAAAATAGCCTTCTTGAAAATAAGAAGATGAAATACATGGAAATGAATCCTTTCAATAAGAAACATCTTCTTGACGATTATGCACGCAAATACCAAGAAATGAACTCTCACAAAAAGAATGCTCTTCTTGAAAAAAAGAGACTTAAATATCAAGAGATCGGTCCTGCAGAAAAGAAACGACTTTGTGAAGAAGCTTCACGTAAATACAAAGAAATCGATCCATGTGAAAAAAAGGTACTTCGTGAAAAACGCGCAATGAATTACGAAACAATGGACTCTGGTGAGAAAGAAGTTCACCGTGAAAAAAGTAGAATGAGCAAAAAACATAAGCGTCAAGAGAACAAATCAAACTTAACATTGGATCATTTCATAGCAATCTTTAACAGAAAAATAAGAGAAGGTCCTTATTTCATATGTTCGGTCTGCAATCGTCTCTTGTATAGAAAGTCTGTGAGATCTCTTAAGAGAGAAAATTATGATTCCATTCCAAACTCTGTATTCACGAACGTAACATCATTTGACAACAAAGAATATATTTGTGCAACATGTCATTTAAAGGTTTCAAAGGGTAAAATTCCTTGTCAATCAGTGTACAACGACATGTCTGTTGATGAAATTCCAGCGGAACTTGCAGCTCTAGAAAAACTTGAACAAATTCTTATTGCACAAAGAATTGTTTTTGAAAAAATAATTGTAATGCCAAAAGGACAACAGAAAAAAGTTGCTGGCGCAATTTGTAATGTACCAGTTGATTGTGATCAAATATGTAATGTATTGCCACGCCCTCCCGAAAGATCTGGTATAATAATGCTAAAACTTAAACGTAAACTTGAATTCAGAGGTCATGTTTATTTCGAAGCAGTGCGTCCACAAGTGATTCAAGATGCCTTGAATTGGCTTAAACAGAACAATTATTTGTACTCCAGTGTAGCAATTGACATAAATAATGTAAGTGACAATCTTAAAGAATTAAGGGAACAGGTGCATAATACACCTGCGAAAACATCTTCAAATAAATTACCAGATAATGATGATAGTGACAATGAAGAAAACGACGATCCATTAAATAAATATCGCCGGGCTACACATGAAACATGCCTACAGTTAAGTCTACCAGACTATCCTGTAACTTCACAACAAGTAAATGTTTCATTGGGTAATGAGATTTACAATATTGCACCTGGAGAAAATAGACATCCTGCGTCAATAATGACTGACCACGGATGTGAACCGCTTGCTTTCCCAGTATTATTTCCAAAAGGACGCTTTGGTTACAAACATGAAAGAAAAATATCGTTATCTTCAGTAAAATACTTTAATGCTCGGCTGTTGCATTACAGTGGAAGATTTGCTACAAATCCAGAATATCTATTTTTTGCACAATTCGTCATGGAACAAAAGAAAGTTGCTGATAGTATTAATATAGCTTTAAAAAAGATCCAAGGGCAACCTGTTACTGTATCACAAATGAAATCAGATATAAATAAACTAAAGAGTTTAATATGTCAAGATCAAGCATATCTGTTCTTAAGACAAATTCCTGGTACACCACCATACTGGCAGAAATTTATGTACGAAGTTGTTGCAATGGTAAAACAACTTGGCATTCCAACATGGTTTATGACATTATCATGTGCTGACCTCAGATGGACCGAGTTGTTTCAAATAGTTGCTAGAACGCAAGGAAGAAATATAAGTGAAGACGAAATTGAAGCCTTAACTTATGCTGAAAGATGTCAATTGCTTAATGTAAATCCAGTTGTTACAGCAAAACATTTTCAACACAGAGTTGAAACTTTCTTTCGTGAGGTACTTCTAAGTGAAATTAACCCAATAGGGAAAATAACTTACTACGCTCTTCGCATTGAGTTTCAAATGAGAGGATCACCACATTTACATGCATTAATATGGACATCTGACTGCCCAAAGCTTACATCAGAGACAAAAACCAGTTTTGTTGAATTTATTGATCAACATGTGCAAGCTAACCTTCCAAATGAAGAACACGAACCTGAACTGCATAATTTAGTCAAAATGTATCAAAAGCACACCCATTCAAAAACCTGTAGGAAATATAAAAACATAAGTTGTCGTTTTAACTTTGGACAGTTTTTTACAAAACAAACTATAGTTGCTGAACCTTTAGATGAGAACATCGATGACGAAGTCAAACTAAATATTCTAAACAGACGTAAGGAGATTCTCTCCTTAGTTAAGCAGAAAATTGATGAAGTGTTAAATCCATCTAACGATAAGTACGATGCAACTTTAACAGAGAAAAATATCTTTGATTCAGTGGGTATTACTGAAGAAGAATACTACAGAGCACTATCGATTTCACCAGACTCTGATTTTGACCTATACCTGAAACGGCCAGTAGACAGTTGTTTTATTAACAACTACTTTGTTGCTGGTATCAAAGGATTTGCAGCAAATGTTGACTTACAACCAGTTTTCAATCACTACAAATGTGTGACATACGTTTGCTCTTACTTCACAAAGGATGAAACTGAGTGTTCCCAAGCTATTGTTAACGCAGCAAAAGAAGCCAAGTCATCAAATATGAATGTCAGAGATGGGTTGAAAAAAATTGGTGCTGCTTTTCTTTCTACAAGGGAAGTTAGCTCACAAGAATGTGTGTATAGATGTATGCCTGAATTGTGGTTGAGAAAAATATTCCCCAAAACAATATTTGTTAGTACTGATTTGCCTGAGAAGCGAATACGTGTAACCAAAACTGAAAATGAGCTTGATGAACTTGATGAAGAGAGCACTGATATATTCAAGTCTAATATCATTGAACGTTATAGTTTAAGACCAAATCGAATCCCATCTGTCGATGCCTTATGTTTAGCACAATTTGCTACACTATATTATAAGGATTATAAACCAGATGATGCCGAGACAAAAGATTCTCAACCTAGTTGTTTAGATGACGATCTACTTGAATCACGTAACTCAACTCTCGATAATGTTGATACTGGTCTTCCCGCTAAAATAAAATTAATGAACAAAAATGAATATATGAAATGTAGAAAAGTTAAAGCGGTTTTAAGATATCACACACCAAACAAAACAAAAGAACCAGAATTATACTTTCATCACTTGCTCATGTTGTATTATCCATGGAGAGAAGAAACAGAGCTATTATCTGCAGATCAAACATATTCATCTAAGTTTCATGAAGCTGACGTTCAAGCTGTCATTGAAAGGAACAGAGCAATGTTTGAACCTAACGCGGATGCGATAACGGAAGCATTCGAGTCAATCAGAAGCAATCCAGGAACAAACCATTCCTTTTCATACGACTCAATAAATGATCAAGAAAACTCCGATATTCAAGAAGAAGCACCAAACGATCTAAATCCTGACGAATCATTCAATGAACAACAGCCATCAGATTTAGGCCAAACACAACCATGTCAGCCTTCTTCTGGAACCATCACTCACCACACCCAACCATCAGAAATTTCTGATGACGAGCTACGTCAATCAGTTAGATCTTTGAATCCAGAACAAAGACGAGCCTATGATATAGTTCTGTCTTGGTGTAGAAAATTAATAAAAAACATGAATAGCTTGAAACCTGTTGAAATAGAACCAATCTATCTCTTTCTTACTGGAGGTGGCGGTGCTGGTAAAAGTCATTTGATAAAAACTATATACCACACAGCAGTTAAAACGTTTAGACATCCTCCATTTAACCCAGAGTTACCAACTGTTTTATTAATGGCACCAACAGGAGTTGCGGCAATAAATATTGATGGAACAACAATAAATACGGGACTGGCTATCCTAAAGAAGCTAATGATTACATTCTGCAATGTCTGATCAAAGGAGAACACAGTACAGACTCACTTTGAAAGACGTAAAACTTATTATAGTAGATGAGATTTCTATGGTGGGAAACACAACTCTTTTACACATCCACCAACGATTAAAAGAAATTTTTGGATGCTCATCTTCCACCTTATTTGCAGGCATTAGTATAATAGCTGTTGGCGACTTCTATCAACTTCCCCCAATAAAAAGAAAGCAGTGTTCGATAATTACAAAAACCAAGTTCAAAATCTTTGTCATCCATGGAGTGTCTTTAAAATGATTGAACTAACAGAAATCATGCGACAAAAAAACGATGAAGCATTCACTGAACTCCTCAACGAATCAGAACAGCCTCCCATACAGAAGATGATATTAAAGTTATTCAGTCAAGATCCATTGAACCATCCGATCCAAACTATCCATCTGACGCACTTCATATTTTTGCTGAAAATGCTCCTGTTAATGAACATAACCAAAAGAAGCTTGAAGAAATTCAAAGACCTCTCTTTATTCTTAAAGCAAAAGATCAATATCCAAAAAACATCAATAAAGCAGACATTAATAAACTTTTAGCAAGAGGACGGTCTGACACATGAGGACTTGATTATGAAATACGAATTAAAGAAGGCGCCAGAGTAATGCTTACTACAAATATCAACATACAAGATCGACTTATCAATGGTCAAATTGGAACGATAGTTAAAATTAATATTAATTCCAATAACGAACCAAATGTTTTATATATTAAGTTTGATGATGAGAAAGCTGGTAAAACTACAACAAACACTACTGCCAACATATTTGCAAGAGAGAATCATGTTGTACCGATAGAGCCTGTTCTTGCAAAATTCAAAGTTAGACCTGGAAAAGCATCATCTCCAGAAATACAGAGAGTACAATTTCCTATCGCACTTTCGTGGGCCTGCACTGTTCACAAAGTTCAAGGTCTTACTCTGCAAAATGTAGTTGTTAGCATGCAGTTGAATAAACAAAGATATTTTAATTATGGTCAGATATATGTAGCCTTAAGCCGGGCAACGTCTTTACAAGGTTTACACATCCTCGGAGAAATACAAAGTAAACGTTAAGGCAAATCCTAAAGTTGACGAAGAATACGAGAGACTTCGAAACGCTAGTGATTTTATAGAAAGTATTAGGGAGAATGAAAACTCACATTTTACTGTATCTCTTTTAAATGTTAGATCCTTAAGAAAGCATAATAAGGATATCAAGTCTCATTGTCAATTGTTTAAATCTGATGTTCTTGCATTTACTGAAACACAACTTTTACCTAACAATTCGTTACATGAAATTACAGAAAACTTAAAACCTTTCAAAATATCGTCAAGATCATATCACAGACAAGTATCTAAGTATGGCAATCTGTATTAGGAGTACTTTGGAAATGGAGAATTATCAATATACCTTCGATAAATGCGCTAAAGTTTGATCTGCTTCATACTGAACAACAACAAACACGTTCTTTTCTTTTACTGTATAGAAAAAACAATTCGAATGTTCCACAATTTTTGGAAGCATTGGAATATGTCCTTCGTAATTCCAACATTCACATGGTCTTAGGGGATTTTAACATAAACTATTTCAATGAGAATCATTCTCAACCACTTACGCTTTTGATGAAGTCATTAAACTATACCCAAATTGTTACCGAACCCACATTTATTTCCTCTGGTAGTTTGTTAGATCATGTCTACATTAAAACAACTTCCTTACAAATAATTAGGAATTCCGTACTCAGTGTTTATTATTCTGATCATGATGCTGTCGTTACCTGCATAAAATACTAAATAATTACTTATAACAAGTCATCGTATATTGGAACTGTTCTATAGTCTTCATTACAAATTAAAATGGTCAGCACACATTTAACAGATTTTTACAATGTTACCTTAGAATGCCTGTGTATATCATATGATGCCAACCACTCAATCCAATTATTACATGTACAATTAAACAATGTTATAATATATACGGAATATATGGACACAATATTTTAAGTTTCTCTCAGTTTTGGTTATTTTGAATAACGTAACTAGCTTTAAAACATGTGTCGGTGTATGGACAATTTACCGTTATTCAGTTACCATGAAAAAAAAGAGAGTAAAGCCCTTGAAATTATTTGATTCCCCGTACGTTACTTGTGGGAAAATCGAAATCGTTTTCAAAGCATTTGAAAGACGGTGGATATAATTCTACAACCAAGAGGTAAGGAATATTCTGTGCCTTAAAATACACTGTCGCTGGTTGCTTTGCTAGGTTCACTCGATATATGATGATTTCTCAACCGTTTAATGGTTTAATTTGAGATAAAATCGTACACATCTCAAATTTAACCATGACCGATTGAGAAAAATGAATCAAATCTATCGGGCTTTTTTTCGACAGGAATGAAACCTGTTTTAACTAGGATTTTAAATGTAGCTATATGATTTCCAGTTGCAACTGTTAACTTTACCAAAAGTAGCCTTATATTTACTGTATCTTTTGACATTAAACTTTCCTCATGTATCATAGATAGAATTTATACAAGAAACCATGGCTGATAATATAACCAAGACTTACTGATGACTAGTGCTGATAATTCCGTATAGTGTTACATGACGTATACAACTTAATGGGTAAGATATCCTTTATGATGTATAGATTGGGCTCTATCTGTCCATAATCCATATATCAGTATATCACAATAGAATCCATAGACTCAAGGTTTTCCGATTGGGTGCCACTAATAGTACTAATTAAACTTCTTTTTACGTCTTAATTATCAGGTTCAAAGCAACTAATAATCAAGGACGTCCATGATGAACAGAAAGTTTGTAAGATATAGCGTTATGTGCTCAATTCTCACCACAAAGTTTATCGAACCATTGTAATTCTCAATAAACACACCGTCGATTGGTAAAGAGTATTTTATACAGATGCTACCCAAACAGCAGATGTGTAGCAGCGTAGCTCCTCCTGATATTACGACGATATGACAATAAGGTTCAATTTGGAAAGAAAGAAGCCAGGATCTCAATCAGGAATTTTGTTTTCAAGTCTGTGAGTTAATCTTAATCTTTATGAAATCAATCTAACAGTTGTGTTCACAGGCAACATTTTATACTTAGTAGCTACGCCTATACTGAATTCCGAAACGTGTTCTATTAAAAACGATGGAACGTGCTTGTCAGTGCAACGACTTTCAGTTCAGAACTAAGTTACATAAAACGAACTGTTTTAAATTCAAACTGTAAATAAAAATTCTTGCTTTTTCTTTATTCTCTTACAATCCCAAGGTCGACCTTTTCTGCTCTCTCTTCTAACACCTTTACATTACTCTGATAAATATTACGTTTGTGATGTCCTCTTTGTTATATCGTATGACTAAGTAACTGTGTGTCATTTGTATAAAATGTGACGTGTGTGAATACTCTTATGTTCTTTTTATTTCGGAATAATGAACACGTTCACCAGCTTCCCCGTTGTTTATACCATTATGTGTGGAATACTGCAACACCAAAGTTATCGGACTCATTGCCAACCTCCAATATGTAAAAATGCATCTGGATTACGAAAGACTCGTTACCACCATAATAAAAACGTTACGTATGATAGAAAACTTAAACTTCCAATCTACCAAACGATACTGGCACGACAGGTGTATACCACGTTATCTTGCACAGAGATCATGAAAATTGCTCCATTTTCCTGAGTGCTTTGACAATCCAAAAAACAAGTTCAATGAAACGCAACAAATATAATCAACATATGTGGAGGATCGACTTTCGTGACAATGATTTCATGCAAACGCAAGTTACACCTCAGGAAAATTATGAAAATCAAAAGGCAATGGAATATCTCACATTTGATTTTACTATGACTTATGGAATCATCTTGTTGCTTCAATATAATACACAGATTTCGAAAGAATATTGCTGCACAAAAGATCGACGTCTCTCAATCGAAACGCCGAGTCGATATTATTAATTAACTCCATATGAAATCAACAATTTTCAATAAAAGGATCACTACTCGACGATGTCCATCAATATACAGACATAAAATGCGTATGAGAGCCAACGATTATTGCAGAAAACTATGAATGAACCTTTTCTCCTCATTCCCAAGGTCGACCTTTCTAATATTCTCTTCTAATATTTCTATGTTAATAAAATGTCTAACATGTTTGTTATGTGTTGTCCTGTTCGTCCTCTCGGGAATGAGCAAAGCCAGACAAATTTGTCTGATTTGTAAATGTGACGTCTCGTACGTGACATTCTTCTTCTGCATCTATTCCCTTTCCACTCTCGTTTTGCTATTCAACTTTGTCATTTTGTCACTTTTGTGATACCTGTATGTGTCAATTTTGTGATTATGTTTATTTCAGTGTCTTCCTAAATATCTTTAACTCAAATCGAAATTAAATCCAATATCCACTAATTACAATTAAAACCAATGTAATTATGAATATATTATATCACTATTCTTAGAACTGAACAGAAACATGTATACCAGCTTCCATATTACTTTTACCTGTAAATTGTCTAATACTATTAACTTACATATAATAAAATCGATGATTATGTATATATCAATGGTTTCTTATCAACAAAAGTTACTTTAAAATACCATCTCAAATCAGATTTGAATCTATTTAGAGGTTTTAATAACACAAAGGTTCAAATATTTTTTGCAAAAAGACGCTCAACTGCCTCATAGAGGAAGAATCTAATACACTGTATTAATGTGCCACCTTAATCTGGCACTTCTACTACACTTTTTAATTCTTTTTGGATTTTTTTAAAGGTTTTCGATTTTTGGTTCCAATTTTCTTCCCATATCTCACCGAAAAAGAAATCTCTCCGAAAATCGCAACAAAAATTGCAATTGTAGCAGGGGACAAAACGACACTAAACAACAAGATCTCCCCAATAAAAATACTTAAAATGAAAGTATAAAGAACATTCTTGCTGACACGAGCTTTAATGAAACCTCTCTATTAACCCTGGTGAAAAAAGACACCTGCTTAGGCGTTAACTCCGGCTTATGTGCCGCGCCAGTGCATGGGCCAACAATATAATAATTCTTATATGCAATGTTCCTGAAAAGAAAATATTATATAGCTCAGTGGCCAGAATCCTTTTTCCCAGATAATTGGCCAGTGATGACGTCACGAAAATTTAAAGCACGTGAAATGAGGCCGAATAGAGGCTAGCTTAACAATCGAATGCTCGATCCTCATTTTTATTTTTTTATTTTGTTTAAATATTCGAGGGATTGAGAAAGTTTTGTGCGATTTTTTTTGTGAAAGGTGAGTTACTTGAAATGCAAGAGAAGATTCTTATATTTGTCAAAAATTTTGAGTTAAACTAGCGTGTACGACCAAGGTGTATTTTATGGTCGCTCACCCTACGTGTTAGAGGTGTACGTATTAAGAATTAAGAAACAAAACGTATTCATAAGTGGTTTTTCTTAGATAGAGATGATTGTTAGATTGGAAGTTTCATTATAAGACATGGTGACCTGTGTTGACAAGATGTACTAAGCTTAAATGTTCTGTATGAGTATGTGTGGCTAAAAATTTAATTTTGGGTATGAAAAGGCAGTGTCCAGTGAACTTGTTAAATATATAGGATATGTCAGACTTTAATTGGGAGAGGAATTTTAAATTGTGAAAGTTATAAACATGTATAGGCCCTGCTCATGCAGCTAGGAGATAATTAAGGCACATAGTTGTGATTGAAAACTTAAGTGTAAAAGAAAATAGGAAGTATAGAACAAATAATGAAAGTGAACAATCATATACTGTTCAATTAACTTTTATTTAAAAATGGATTTTTTTAGAAAGCAAGTATTTACAATGATGAAAATTATTCAGAAAAAACTACAATTTCAAACTTGAACAGCCTGTATATAAGCATATAAAAGACTAGAATGTCAATTAATAACTTAGTTAATGTCCAAAGTTTCAAGGTCATCTTTTGGCATTTCAGAATCTTCATACTGGATAGCACTTTCTATGATGTTTCGGTTTGGGTCTATCTCCAGTGTGTATTTTGATGTCAGCAGAAGAACCTTATCTTTTTCATCCAGCTGAGGTTTTGGCTCTGTCCAGTTCAACAAGCTCAAGATAACCTAAGGAGAGAGTAAAGAAATTGTTAATTTAATCTACATATAAAGAAGGTAATCTTGGTAAACCTTAAAGAAGAATAGTTGAGTGGCTTGACATGATTTAAAATATTTCACTGTGACATTAATATACTTACAGATTGAGTTGCTGTGTACCAGTTATTATCTGAAAGCATCACCAGGCACTGGTTTGTTACAGTAGCTAGTCTTGATAAGAAAGATCCCTTGCAGGATGCACAATCCGTTGTGACCGAGTTGACAGCTGTTTGGACTATGGTTGACTTACAGAGGAAGCACTTGCGTGCGTACTGAAAGTTCTTTATTGCCAATACGGCCGTTGTCATTTCGATCTTTGTAGCGAAAGTTTCCAGATTCGCAACGACTTCTATTTTCTCTCCAGGCTGAACCTTGATGGTTGTCTCAAAACTGGTGGTCAGATTCATTTTGCCATTGAAGGTAGTTGTTACCAAGTTTTCAAGAAGGATAACATCGTCGGTGTTAAATGAAACTTTTTGTGCTCGTTGTCTCCACAGGACCAAGTTCATCTGGCCGGTCTCATCAGCTAAGACGACTTCGCGTTTGGTTTTCGTATCAGGAAACGCACCGACCTCGTATGGTTCTTCAATCTTCATGACCTTTGCTTTAACGTTGATGAATCTGGGACGCGTTAGGTTGTCTGACTCAAGAAGTTGTTGGATTTTCATGGTGGAGCAGACGATGGGGACGTCTTTGGACGCGTTAGCCATCAGCAGTTCTTTGTCGAGGAGTGTCTCTACGGCGTTGGGGTTGTTATCGTAAGACTGTTTGATTTTGAACGAGCTCAGTTCGTAGCTTTTCTGTGCTTCGAACTTGGCGAAGAATTTATCATCGAAACACACTGCGCGCAACGTCTCCTTGGTACTGTCATCGCAGAAGTTCATAGAGAACATCGAGCCATTTTTCGTTCGACGCAAGTTACTTTTGTTAACCACCGCGCACGTCAGGCTTTTCGAGACTTTTCTGGGAGATTTGGAAACTGGCGATGCCTTTAGTTCGTCAATCGTGGTGGACTTTCGTTTGGTAGGCGTCGACATCATGTTGCTCTTCTTTCTAGGATTTCTTCGTTCTTGGATTTCTTCTATTTTCGTCTCCGTCGCAGATGAATATTCAAAATCGAATGAAAATTAGAGTGTTTGCGACCATATTTATAGAGAAGCTCAGCCAATCAGTGTGAAGATGATGTCATGGAAAAGTTTAAAAATAATTGTGGAAATATTTTGAGTTCAACGTTAAAAATAGAAACAATTTATGGGGTAAAACCTAAATATAGACTTCAAAGGACGATGATGTAATTGAAATGCACATCTTTGTATTTAGTTTTTTTAACCAGAAAACAAAAGATTTGATTACTCCTTTTTTCACAGGATTCTATGGATCATACTGATAACATAGGAGCAAACATTAGAGAAAATATATCTGCTTTTTAACCATTGTTTACATTATTTATTGTTCATGTCTATAAACGTAACAGGCGTGGTTTTGGCGTGTTATTCAAAGATGGGATGACGTAATATTTTAGTAAATTTCAGATTTGTCAGTCAACTTAAAGAGGGCCAGGTGCGGTGATTTCTGTGCATCACACTTTTGGTTATAATATTGAGGGACTCCATCATTTATTAATTGTGAAAATTTTGCATGTTTTGAATTTCTTTGAACATAAATTTAATGTCACTGTATTCTGCCTATAACGCTGATGTCATCAAAAATTTTTTGTGACAATTTATATTTAGAACTGAACATTATTAATAGTGGCAGTTCATGGCTAAATATATGAGCTGACGTGTCTGTTACTCCAGAAAACAATGATGTAATTCATCAAGATCCATATCTCTATTTTAGTCTTTCTAATTAGAAAACAAAAGATTTGATGACTAGGAGTAATTTTAAAACTCCCTCCCCACTGAAAATAATAGCTCATAGAGAACCGAAATGTTGTTGGACATTGAGAGAACGGATTGCATTTCTAGCAAGTGTATGAACTTTAAAATGTAAACGAACCCTATGTTCACATACGGACTTGACATTCATTTTAAGAATTTGAGAAATATCTTGTTTAGAGTCGTTATGTCCCCTGATACAATCAAGACAAAATTTTTCAATAGGAAAATGTATTGCAACGTTTTCTGAAATACCTTAAACTTTTGATATATTCAAAATCCGCAACCATGGTATAGGCACTTCAATACAACATGAGCTGTTATTTCTGCTTTCAATTTTGACAGTTTAAACTATACATATTATTCGCACAATTTAATACGTAGTTGATTGGCATGTTATGTCTAACAGCTAAATAGATCAGTGTTTCACAAATGATACATTAGGTTACGCCCTTCAAAAGTTACTTTTAACCGAACAAAAAGCACGTTCCCTTCAAAGAATGAAGCAACAACCCTGAATATCTCCAAACATCCCACTCTCACTTTATCTTTCAATCCCTTTTCAATTTCTAAGAGTTTCAAGGACCAAAACAACTTTAAATTGCCAAATTGTTCCTCTTTAATTTAAATACAAATCAATAACTCTTATCATAGATTTTATGCATGAAAGAAAATCAATTTTAAAACGAAAAACACCCACTGACACTTAATGTCGTCCTTTCAATTTTTGACAGTTTAGTGGGGAGGGAGCTTTAAAATTATTCCTAGTCATCAACTCTTTTGTTTTCTAATTAGACTAAAATAGAGATATGGATCTTGATGAATTACATCATCGTTTTCTGGAGTAACAGACACGTCAGCTTATATATTTAGCCATGAACTGCCACTATTAATAATATTCTGTTCTAAATATAAATTGTCACAAAAAACTTTTTGATGACATCAGCGTTAATAGGCAGAGTACAATGAATAAGACATTAAATTTATGTTCAAAGAAATTCAAAGCAAGCAAAATTTTGGCAATTAATAAATGATGGAGACCCTAAATATTATAACCAAAAATGATGCACAGAGATCACTGTACCCGGCGCTCTTTAAGTTGACTGACAAATCTGAAATTTACCAAAATATTACATCATCCCATGTTTGAATAACACGCCAAAACCACGCCTGTTACGTTTATTGACATAAACAAAAAATAATGTAAACGATGGTTTAAAAACAGATATATTTTCTCTAATGTTTGCTCCTATGTGCTCTGTATCATCTATAGAATCCTGTGAAAAAAGGAGTTATCAAATTCTTAAAATGAATGTCAAGTCCGTATGTGAACATAGGGTTCGTTTACATTTTAAAGTTCATACACTTTCTAGAAATACAATCCGTTCTCTCAATGTCCAACAACATTTCGGTTCTCTATGAGCTATTATTTTCAGTGGGGAGGGAGTTTTAAAATTACTCCTAGTCATCAAATCTTTTGTTTTCTAATTAGAAAGACTAAAATAGAGATATGGATCTTGATGAATTACATCATCGTTTTCTGGAGTAACAGACACGTCAGCTCATATATTTAGCCATGAACTGCCACTATTAATAATGTTCAGTTCTAAATATAAATTGTCACAAAAAATTTTTGATGACATCAGCGTTATAGGCAGAATACAATGACATTAAATTTATGTTCAAAGAAATTCAAAACATGCAAAATTTTCACAATTAATAAATGATGGAGTCCCTCAATATTATAACCAAAAGTGATGCACAGAAATCACCGCACCTGGCCCTCTTTAAGTTGACTGACAAATCTGAAATTTACTAAAATATTACGTCATCCCATCTTTGAATAACACGCCAAAACCACGCCTGTTACGTTTATAGACATGAACAATAAATAATGTAACAATGGTTAAAAAGCAGATATATTTTCTCTAATGTTTGCTCCTATGTTATCAGTATGATCCATAGAATCCTGTGAAAAAAGGAGTAATCAAATCTTTTGTTTTCTAGTTAAAAAACTAAATACAAAGATGTGCATTTCAATTACATCATCGTCCTTTGAAGTCTATATTTAGGTTTTACCCCATAAATTGTTTCTATTTTTAACGTTGAACTCAAAATATTTCCACAATTATTTTTAAACTTTTCCATGACATCATCTTCACACTGATTGGCTGAGCTTCTCTATAAATATGGGTCGCAAACACTCTAATTTTCATTCGATTTTGAATATTCATCTGCGACGGAGACGAAAATAGAAGAAATCCAAGAACGAAGAAATCCTAGAAAGAAGAGCAACATGATGTCGACGCCTACCAAACGAAAGTCCACCACGATTGACGAACTAAAAGCATCGCCAGTTTCCAAATCTCCCAGAAAAGTCTCGAAAAGCCTGACGTGCGCGGTGGTTAACAAAAGTAACTTGCGTTGAACGAAAAATGGCTCGATGTTCTCTATGAACTTCTGCGATGACAGTACCAAGGAGACGTTGCGCGCAGTGTGTTTCGATGATAAATTCTTCGCCAAGTTCGAAGCACAGAAAAGCTACGAACTGAGCTCGTTCAAAATCAAACAGTCTTACGATAACAACCCCAACGCCGTAGAGATACTCCTCGACAAAGAACTGCTGATGGCTAACGCGTCCAAAGACGTCCCCATCGTCGGCTGCTCCACCATGAAAATCCAACAACTTCTTGAGTCAGACAACCTAACGCGTCCCAGATTCATCAACGTTAAAGCAAAGGTCATGAAGATTGAAGAACCATACGAGGTCGGTGCGTTTCCTGATACGAAAACCAAACGCGAAGTCGTCTTAGCTGATGAGACCGGCCAGATGAACTTGGTCCTGTGGAGACAACGAGCACAAAAAAGTTTCATTTAACACCGACGATGTTATCCTTCTTGAAAACTTGGTAACAACTACCTTCAATGGCAAAATGAATCTGACCACCAGTTTTGAGACAACCATCAAGGTTCAGCCTGGAGAGAAAATAGAAGTCGTTGCGAATCTGGAAACTTTCGCTACAAAGATGAAATGACAACGGCCGTATTGGCAATAAAGAACTTTCAGTACGCACGCAAGTGCTTCCTCTGTAAGTCAACCATGTCCAAACAGCTGTCAACTCGGTCACAACGGATTGTGCATCCTGCAAGGGATCTTTCTTATCAAGACTAGCTACTGTAACAAACCAGTGCCTGGTGATGCTTTCAGATAATAACTGGTACACAGCAACTCAATCTGTAAGTATATTAATGTCACAGTGAAATATTTTAAATCATGTCAAGCCACTCAACTATTCTTCTTTAAGGTTTACCAAGATTACCTTCTTTATATGTAGATTAAATTAACAATTTCTTTACTCTCTCCTTAGGTTATCTTGAGCTTTTGAACTGGACAGAGCCAAAACCTCAGCTGGATGAAAAAGATAAGGTTCTTCTGCTGACATCAAAATACACACTGGAGATAGACCCAAACCGAAACATCATAGAAAGTGCTATCCAGTATGAAGATTCTGAAATGCCAAAAGATGACCTTGAAACTTTGGACATTAACTAAGTTATTAATTGACATTCTAGTCTTTTATATGCTTATATACAGGCTGTTCAAGTTTGAAATTGTAGTTTTTTCTGAATAATTTTCATCATTGTAAATACTTGCTTTCTAAAAAAATCCATTTTTAAATAAAAGTTAATTGAACAGTATATGATTGTTCACTTTCATTATTTGTTCTATA